CCCACCACAGTGCCCAGAACTGAAGGGGAGGCGGGTGCCGTGGATGTGCCTCTGTGTGACCAGGTCCCTGTCAACTCTGCCAGTCCTACCCACACTACACTTCCCACTACTCCAGCCAGAACCTCTTTCCTTCTGTTCTCCTCCAGGACAGACCATTTCCAAAGCCCTGAATCACCCCAGGAGAGGAGAAGACAGAAAGGACATCTCCCACCAGCCCAGTCCTCCCTGGTCAGATGGGTTTTGTCCACTGTGAACTGTTGTCACCCATCGGAGGTGCAGGACTTGCCCTGACTCCCCGCTCTGCTGTGTGCTCCCAGGGTGGCTGGACCCTGCAGACAGGCACTGGGGGCTGCTTGCCCAGCCAAACAATGCCTGCAGACACTCTCAGGTGCAGCCACCAGTCACCACCAGCTTGACTCCTCAGCCCATTTGGAGGCCAAAGGGAATGAGAAAGAATCATCCAATGGGATTACCCACTCTGCCAACCCTGGGGAAAACAGTTGAAAAGACAGGATGAGAACTGTGAAGACTTTTCAGGTAGAAGTGATTAATGCAGGGGAAAGAAAAGGGATCAACTAAATCTAATAAGGGACACCAGGAACTCCCTGGAATGAAATCCTGCAGTCCTCACATCCCTCTGTGGGAGCAGAGCGAGAGGAGCTCGCTGCTGTGGGAGGATGTGATTTCCCTGGCTGTGATGAGGGTGGAGGGAGCCTGTCAGCTATTGCAGTAAGCACTGCCCTGCAAATACATCCCTGGACCACCACGGAGGCGATAAAGCCCCAGGTTTGTCTGTAAGGAAGTTTTTCACTGGGAGTGTTTGGCAGGCTGTTCTCACATAGTTCCTGGTCAACTCCTTGTCCGAGAAGAAGTTTCCTTTCAGCTGAATGAGAAACTTGCTCGGAAATTGCTCTGACATGAGACACATCCCAGCCTGGGATCCTTACGGCAGCGCACAGCACGGAGCAGAGCCTGTCTAACACCAGGCTCCCTGCGCTGCCTGTGCCAAATCCCCTATCTGAAAACACAATATGTTTCCCTTCTCTCACTGCACTCGCACTTGGTTTTGTTAAACTCTCTCTAGGCATCACAGAGGGCCAAAAATCCGAGAGGCAGACACTGCTGACGTCAGGCACACGTGCAGGTGGCGGGTGCATCTCCCGGCCCCCCGGGGGAATGGGTTGGGAAGAACCAGAGCCAGTACTGGGAACAGAGTCTGAGGCCGTTCTCCAAGTGCCTGTCAGCGGGCTGCAGCCCTGGGTTTGTCCAGCAGTGCTTTATTCGGCCAAATGCAAAGGTATTTCATGGTAACTAAAGGGAAGGTGCTTGTCCGGGTTCATTTCCAGCACTCGGAATGAGACTGCTGTTCCTGAGAAATTGTGGAACGGTGTCATCTTAGTGATGTCATTAAATCTGGTCCAAGCCCCTGCCTGCATTTTCATGTGTCCACACCAGCTCACCAGCAGTTGAGCTCCGACAACTTTTTAGTTCAAGCCTTTTCCAGCTGCAATCTCATCTCCCAGGGGAGCTGGAAGCTTCATCAGGACAAACCGGGTTGGAGACATGAGGCTTGGGCTGGACCAGCGCTGAGCAAACAGAGCCAGCCCAACGGCACTGGAGAGGGGGAGGATGGAGAACAGACCTCCAAGCTTGTCTCCAAGCTGTGTCCTCCCTGGAGCACGCTCGCTCCCAGGCACTCCGCCAAAGCTGGACTGTAAAGCCAAGCTCTACGTGGATGAATTATTTGCCAGGTAAAGTTGATGGGAACCCGAATCTGTGAAAAGCTCTGCTGGTCGGGTTCCTTCTGCAGGAGTAGATCCTGGAGAACATCTCCTTGGGACAAGACCTGTCCTGTCCATGGGCAGGGCTGGGACCTCTCGGGCAGCAAGAAGCGATAAAGAAAAATTAGATCTGGCTGGCAAAAAACGTTCCCGTGGGAAATTTTGACTTTCTGTCAGAAACTGCAGTGCATTTCTTTTTCAGCACCAAATAAGCATGAATAGGAACAAAGATTCAGTTTTGGCAGGGGGAATGGACTTACCAAAGAAAACACCCAAATTTTTAAGCAAAGCAGACACATTCTATAATTTTTCTCCCTAGATGAAAATAAAAATAAAAATAAAACCCTCAACGATTTTCCAGAAAGGAAAAAAATAAATTCGATGAAAAAATTGTAACTAGTTCTCACACCACTACCTGAGGCAAAATCAGCTAATTTGGCTAATTGACCTACCCCTTCAGCACGGCTGTTCAGCAGGGTTTGGCCGCCTCTGCCTTCTCTCTCAAGCGGTGGGAGATGCCTCCAGCGTGCAACCGGCAGCATCACCACCAAGTCCCCGCTCATCCCCTGCCCCTGCCCGGCGCAGGCGGGTCCACAGCCCCCGCTGACCGCAGGGCCTGACTTTCTCTCGGGATTTAGGAGAGAAACCAGGGTGGGCTGATGGTCATGAACAAGTGGGTGGGAGCTGAATAGGGTTATTGTGATCTTTATCTGGGGGGATTATTCCAGGCAGTGTGGGCTTGGCAGGGCAACACGGTTGTTTGGCCGTGGCTGGTTTTGCAGAGCGATAGGTACGGCCCCAGGGAACGGCGCACCGGGATCGGGTTGTGGAAAATTATTTTACGGTACCTTCATCCTTGCAAAACATTCACTTCCCAGCAAAGTCGGTGGAAAAGGAAAAAACAGAGCGATTTTCGTTTGCAGAAGTCTGACGCGGCTGGGACTGCTCATGGTCTGAAATGCAAAGCCTGGCATAAAAGTGACACATTTTACTGGAAACTGGGAACTTGTTTCCCTTTTATTGGAAATAAATTGGAAGGGAGAAGGATGGTGAGAGCACGGGGCCAGCACAATAACTGAAGCATTTTTCAGGAGCATTTGAGGACCCTGTAGAGTAGACCGAGGGTCCGATAGCACCCCGAGATCACACCAAAATTTATGGTATTGCTGATTGCGGCAACTGCAGGCAGGGAACTGGTCCCAGCCCGTGAGCGGGGGTTGAGGCTGGGGGAGCTGGACGCCTCCTGTCCTCGGCCCAGAGAATAAATATAAGAAATAACCGAGACGCGGATCCCCGTCCCCGAGCGCTGCCGGGCAGAGGGATCCACGGGACGGAAGAAAAGCAAACGCGGAGATAACCCCGGCATCGCTCGGGGCGCCGCATCTCCCCGCCGCTTCCCCCCGTCCCGACGGGAGCCGCACCCGGGGGAGCCGGGGCTCCGGAGCGGGGCCGAGCATCGCTGCCTGGACCCCCGCGCCTCCCCCGGCGCCTCCCCCGCGTGTGCCCCGGTGCCCCCCGCCCGCAGGAGCGGGACCCCCTCCCCGCCGGACACCCCGGGCTCGGCCGTGCCTCGGTGTTGAAGGCGCCGGCGAAGAAACTGCGCTGTCTGCGAGGGACACATCTGATTGTGAAGGGGGGGGGGGGGGGGGGAGAAAGAAAAAAAAAAAAGAAAAGAAGGGAAAGAAAACAAAACCAAAAAAATAAGGCGCCCAACCCCGACCGCTCGGCGAGGGTTTTTTCCTATCGTCGGAGCTGCAAATATTTTGGAAGACGGGGCCGTGTTTTCCGTGTAAACAAGGCGGCGGCGGGGCCGGAGCCGCGCTCCGCGGGACCGGGGGATCCCGGCGCGGAGAGTAGAGCCCAGCCTGGGGCATCCCAGACTCCGGGGCTGGGTCCCCACCGGCACACGGCTGAGCCAGGGGCTGGCACCGGCCCCCCAAACCGCGGCGAGGAGGGGACCGGCAGCGCACGGGGCTCCCGCTGGGAAGCGGGGAAATGGAAAATCGCGGGGAATCGTTAGCGGGACATGTGAAGACTCACGGGGAAGAGCAACCCAAACCTTTCACCCTCATTCCCCCCTGGCAGAAGCGAAGGACACCCCGTCTCCGCTCGGGGACAGCCAGGAACGGCGCGAGTTTCTCGCCCGGGATGGAACGAACCGGCTGCTGCCGGGTTCTCATTTGGCCTCGGGGCTCAGTCAAGTCCCCGCCGCCCCGCCACCGCCTCCCGGGGCCGCCCGCACCCCTCGGGGAGGCAGCGACGGGAGCCGTAGGCACTGCCGGGTTTCCCTCCCCTGCTCCCAACCACTTTCCTCCTCCGCGGAGGCCGGAGCCCGTCCTCGTCCTGTCCGGGCACGGAGCCTCTCGGGCTCTGCGGCGGATCTCTGAGTCGGTGTCCCGGGGAAGAGAGCGCGGCTGCCGGCGAGCTCCGGGATCCCCGGACCGAACCCCAGGCCGGACCCTCCTGTGATGGGAGACCCTCCCCAGCCAGCCAGGGCCCCTCCGCGCTTCTCTGGACACGAACGGCCTTTTGTCGGATTCCTGAGTGTTTCTTCTCCCCCCTCCTGAGCTCCTTGGTGTCCCCTGCCTCGCGTTTCCGAGGTTCCCCGCTGTCCCCTGCTCTGTGCTCCGGAGTCCCCCGGTACTCCCTGTCCTGCGCCGCCAAGTGCCTCGGTGTGCCCCCGTCTTGTTGTCCCGGCTGCCTCGGGTCTCCCCCATCCCACATCTCCGGGGCTCTCGGTATCTCCTCCCCCAAATTCCTGTGCCTCGCCGTGCCCTGCCCGGCGGTCCCCGGTTCCCCCTGCCCCCTGCTTTGCGCCCGGACATCCCTCGGTGTTGTCACCATCGCGCTCCCGGGTGCCTCAGTGTTCCCTGCCTGGAGCTGCCGGACGCCTCGGTGTCCCATCCCCTGCGCTTCCGAGCGCCTTCGCAGCCCCGTTCCGAGCTTCTGGGCCCCTGGGCGTCCCGTCCTTTGCCCTACGCTCCCCAGTGCCTCAGTGTCCTCACCCTGTCCTGTTCTCCATCTCCCCGCGTGTTCCTGTCCTGCTCGCCGTGTCCCTGGTTGTCCCTGAGCCGCTCGCCGTGTCCCTGGATGTCCCCGTGCCTTTCCCTCCCGTACCCCGCGGGTCCTTCGCTCTGCCCTCCCTCTCCCTGCCCCTCCGGGGACCTCCGCGCCCTCTCGCCGTCCTTCTCCCCGCCTCTGCCGCGGCGCTGGACTCACCCACACACTCGTTGGCCTCCCGGGCCGTCGCTCGCTGCCAGGGCCGGTCGTAGTGGAAGGGCTTGCAGCGGTCGCACTCGGGGCCGGCCGTGTTGTGCTTGCAGTCGCACACCAAGCTGTCGTCGCGGTCACGGACACAGCGCGACGCGTGCCCGTTGCACTTGCATCGCCCGCCGACCTGCAAGTCGGAGACGGCGTAGAAGTAGGAGTCGCGGGCCAGCTCAGAGTCATCCTCGCTCTCGTCGCCGAAGGTGTGGAGGCGGCTGAAGGTCACCCTGATGTCGGTGGCCGTCACCCAGTCCTGCAGCACGGGCGAATTGTCGAAGTCGTGGGCGGTGGGGCGGCCGTCCAGGGTGCTGAAGGCGATGAGGCCGCCGGAGAGGGGCCGCACGTCGGTGTGCGAGTCGGTGCACACCGCCTCCTGCTCGTTCTGCTTCGTGATGGCGGCGCGGTTCGGCTTGTTGTACATCTTGCGGCACTGCGTGGAGTAGAACTGGAAGGGCACCCAGGTCTTGCCGTAGTCCATGGACTTGTGGATGGCCATGGACTCGGGGCGCGGCGAGCAGAACTGCAGGCTGACGTAGGTCACCTCGAATTTCTTGCCGAGGGAGAGGGTGAGGGTGACGTTGTGGGGGTACTGGACGTAGCTGTCGGACTGCCAGCAGGTCAGGTTGTGCGGGTTGTTGAGGTCGGTGAGGAAGGAGGGCGGGTGGGCGCGCTTGGGGTCGGAGGCGTTGCAGAGGTGGCAGGTGCGGACCTGCTCCTCGCCCTTCTCCGTCACCACGCAGTACCGCGACGGCGGCTTCCCGCAGGTGCTGGACACCTTCACCTCCTTCCCGAAGGCCGAGTTGACGAAGTCGGGGATGCAGCGGCGGGGCAGCCCGTGCTCGTCGTAGCAGGGGTCGGGCTGGGCCGTCTGCACGGTGAACATGCTCACGCCGTGGTAGCCCCCGCGCAGGGGCTGCGCCAGCCACGCCGCCGCCAGCAGCAGGGCCAGCGGCGCCTCCGCGCCCCTCCGCGGCATCCTGCGCGACCTCCGCGCGGCGTGGGGACAGCGGGGAGGGGGCACGGGGGACACGGGGGAGCCGCCGCTCGGGCGCGCAGCTCCGCGGGGCGCCTCGGCCGAGGGACGCGGTGCGGCGGCTCAGGGAGCGCGGAGCATCGCCCGCCCCGCGGCCAGCCCCGCGGAGAAAGGGGAGACCGCGGCGGCGGCGGCACCACAAAAGTGGGGCTGGCGGCGGGGCTGGGTCCCGCCTGCCTCCCGCCCCGGCCCTCGCACGGAGAATGACTGGCGGTCCCAGCCCCCGCCGCGTTTGAGGTCATGCTAAAGGAGTGACATCGCGCTCAAGGAACAGAACAACGACATCCACTGGCGGCTCAGCCAGAGACGCGCACAGGCCTCGGGGAGGGCGGGGGGGGGGATGGGAGTGGGACGGAGCCCGCCTCGACACCGCGGCCATGGGCGCCAGCGCCGCCGCGGGGCTCCCGAGCCGCCCCGAGCACCGCGGAAGGACCATCCCGCTCCCCCCCGACCCTCTGTGCCCCCGACGGGGCCGGGGGAGCCCGGGGCCGCCTGCGCCCCAGCAGCTGGAGATGCTCCGTGGGCGTGGAGCGGGGAGGGGGGGGAGCGGCCGGGAGGAGCCCCCCGCCCACCTGTGGGGACGCCGAGAGGGACAGGATGGGGACGTCTCCCAGCTGGTCGCTGCTGGCCTCCCCTCTCTAGCAGGCCAGACAGGGACTGGTCCCCTCAGCTGGACCGGGAGGGGGGGCCGGAGCAGAGCCCGAAGCACGTCCGGGCACCGGCCCGCTCCGAGGGGGCTCCCGGAGGGTCTCGGCCCGCAGCCTTCGCCCCTGGGACAGAAACTCCGATGCCAGGGAAGTTTAACAGGGAGAAATCTCGAGTCTTTGGGCACTACACGGGAACTAACGGGCCTGGCGACCGTCGGCAGGTTGTTTTAGGGGGCCGATCTCGTCTCCCTAGCACAGCCCTGGGACAACCCAGGCACAGGAGCCGCCCCCCGCCTCGGTTTGCAGCTTGTCGGGGCTCCCGTTAAAGCGAGGAAGGAGTTAAAGGGCGGCACTTGTCCCGCACTGGGCAGTGGCCCAGCCCCGGTCTCCCCTTCCCGCCCGTCCTGCGGACCCTCCGTGCCGGGGGCAACCCCCGGCCACCGCCTCCCTCCTGATCAGCTCTGTCCCAGCGCTTCCCCCCGGCGATCCCGGCCGGAGGCAGAGCCCCAGGGGACAGTACCGAGATCTAGGAGAGACGGTCCCGCGAGGGAGCGGAGAGTTTCCCTCCCGCGGCTCCCGGCCGCCCTGCTCGCCCCCCTTCCCTCTCTCTTTGATTAAAAGGGCACTTTTATTTTTCCAACGGAGGTGCCCTCTCTCGGAGCGCTGCCCACGCCGTGTCACTCAAGCGGCCTGGCCCTGGCACGGCGGCGCGGTCCCCTCCCCGGCGGGGCGGCCCGAGGGGACGGGGGCTGCCCGGGCAGCCGTGAGCCCCAGGCCGGCCTCCGCCCCCTCCCCTCCTCCCGCCCCTCTCCCCGCTTTGAATTCCTTGCCACCGAGCTGAATAAAAGTGGTTGTTGTAAATTGAATTAGTGCCTGATTAATCTGCTCCCGGGCCTGCTAGCCCAGCGGGGCGTCTTTGGCAATGCAACCGCCTTCCCTGCAGGGCAGCGGGGGCTCCGCAGCCTCCCTGCCCCCACTGCTCCCCCTGGATCTTCCCCACCCGCCCCCCAGCCCCGCCACTCCCGGGATTTGTTAACTCTTCCCCGGGAAACAGCCCCTCCGTCCCGCTCCCGGGGCTCTTGGTGCTCCTTCGCCGGAGGAAGAGGGGTGTTTGTGTGTATTGGGGATGCGTCGGCCCAGGACCGGGGGGGGGTCCCAGTCCCGCTGGTCTCACCCGAGCTGCCCTTGGACTCAGTCGCAGCCCGGCACACCCGAGACACACACGGACAATCCTGGGATACCCTGAAGAAAGATCTTCCCCCGCTCTTGAGTTGAGGACCTATTTGCGTAATTGAGATAGGGTGGTACCTCAAGGAGGAAAGGGGACAATTTAGACCAAACTGTCCCGGGCCGTGGGGACCAGGCCGGGAGAGAGCTGCGGGAGGCCCCGGGACAACGGTGCCCGGTGCGGGCTCTCCCCAGAGCCGAGTGGGCTCGGCCGCGGCTGTGGGGACAACTCGGGATGGGAATCCCCAGCCGGAAGCCCCAAATTCGGGCCCTCAGACTCTCCCACGTGCCTGCTATGAGCATCCCCGCTCGTCGTTTCTGAGTCCCCGCTCTGTCCGCCCGGCACTTCTCCTTCGGCCACGCACGTCCTGGACCAGCCCTTCCTTGCGGGACTCCCCGTCCACCCGTTCCGAGCCGTGCCGGGGCGGCGAAGGGATGGGGCCACCGGCTCCTGTGCCCGGGGGGGACATGAAGCCACGGGGCCACCGGCTCCTGTGCCCGGGGGGACATGAAGCCACGGGGCCACCGGCTCCTGTGCCCGGGGGGGACACGCGGGGCTGTCTCGGGGCGCAGCAGGTGCCGTTGCGAGGACCCGCGTTTTTCCAGGAAAGGATGCGGGTTTGGCTCCGGTTTCTCCAGACGCTCCTTAACTCTCTTTCTGGCCCTGCCGCTGCACTGGGAATGTCGCCGGGCGCCGGGCGCAGGATAGGGTTGAAATTTTAGCGTTTCCTTAAAATCCGGGAAGGTTTTTAAAGGTCACCCCCCACCTCCCCAATCCCTCAAAGCCCGCACTGTTCTTTAACGCCTCACGGCAAAAAATGAGGTGAATCTAAGAAATCCCGACTCCCGCTAAACTCCCCCGCAAACCCGAGGTGCTGCCTAATCCCATTAGCAGGGTGTTAATTTAACAACCACCCGGTGCTGCCGAGCGCGGGGCCCCGCACTGCCCGGCGGCGTTCCCGGGGCTGCGGCTCTCGCCTCTCTCCTGCCCTTCTCGCTGAGTTTATTCGGTGTTTCACAACCCCCGGGGTTTGTAATGGCTCTTGTGGTCATTAACGTGATTTACTGAGGCTTTCTCCTCTAATTACCTCGCCCTCGAGCTATTAAATGCGTGTAAGCAGTTCCGCGGGGACCGAGGCGCAACTCTCCGAGCCTCGGGTCCGAGTCTGTCCGCCCGCTCCGGGCAGGGGCCTGGAGCAGTCCCAGCAGGATGGAGCAGGGCGGGTGCTCGGGGTACCAGGCCACAGGTCGCCCCCCTACCTTGGGGTTTGATTTTCCTGTCATTAAGCACCAGCTAACCCCGGCCCTCTCCTGCCTCGGAAGGGGACAGATCCTTGCCGAATCCAGCCCCGGTGCAACCCCGATGCACGCTCGCTCTCTCTCCGGGACCGGAGCATCTCCTGTACCCGCACCGGGACCGGAACATCTCCGGTACCTGCACCAGGGACGGAGCATCACTGGTACCAGCACCGGAGCATCTCCGGTACTTCCACCGGGACCGGAGCATCTCCAGTACCTCCGGTACCTGCCCCGGGAACGCGGCCGATCCCCGTGAGGGTCCAGGGGCTGAGCGGTGGCGGGGTACGGCCGGTCCAGGGCAGAGCGGAGCCTCCCCGTTCCCCCGCCTTGGGCCCGAGAGAAGCCCCGGTGACGGAGAGCCGAGAAGGGCTTTATTTCAGCCCCACCGGGGCCAGCGGGAAAGGCCGCCCCGGCGCTCGGAGCCTGTTTTAAAAGTCAAATGGCTTCGGGTGCCGGAGCTCGTCCTCCTCGCCGGGAACAATGCGCTGCTCCTCGCCCACCTCCCCCTGCACGGCCCGGGTTTGGAGAAGGGAGGGGGGAAATCCGGGCGGCTCTTCCCCTCCTCGGCTCTCGGGGGGCCGTTCCCCGGCGGGATCGGGAGCGGCTGGAAAAGCAGAGAAGACCCGGGTTGAAATAATCAGGAGCGATTTATTCCCCTGGAGTGACAGTTCTTTTGAGCAGTTGCCGAATGGCAGTTTCTGTCTTTCTGAAAGCTTTTCTTCCAGATTCTGTTCAGATTAGGCTGGGGAGATGAATGAGGCCATTATCCAGCCCAGTAGCTATTCTGAAATGCCAAATTAATTACCAAGGGCTAAATCAAGGCGATGGGGGCTGAAGGCGGAGCGGGGCCGGGGGGGGGGGGGGGGGGGGGGGGGGGGGCGGTTTGAGGTGGGAAAATATCTCCGCGATCTTTTAAACACTGACACGGCGGGCGGCCCGGGGTGCTCCCCTCAAACCCCCCAAACCTCGCTCCGCAGGTGATGGGGGCAGCGGCGTCTGGAGGGGCCCCGGCCGGGCGGAGCGGGCGAGGAGACCCTGAGGGGTCCCGCTCTGGCTGCCCCTTCCCTGGCTCCCGATCGGCCCCGCCGGCCGCCGCATCTCTCACCGCGGGGCTCCGAGCAGGGCTAAACCCGGGCCGGGGCCGGAGCCGAGGCCGCTCGCCCCCTCTCGATGCTCACGGGTCCGTCGGGGCTCTCCGCCACCTGCCCGCCGGCCCCGCGGCGGAGCGAGGAGCAGCCGCGCTCTCCCCAGTCCTGCTGCAGCGCTTTGTCATCGACTGAGCCGCCGCGGAGGGAGCCTGGGGGATTCCCTGAGCTCCGAAGGGCCGGATGGGGGATGCAAAAAATGATCAAACTCTCGCTTCTTTCACCAGTGTTTGCGATGAGTGCGAGAAGGGAGCGTGTGTGTGCAGAAATGCTGACCCATAATTCGGTTCGCGTTGTCTGACTTGGAGGGTTACAGAAACACCGCGGGGAAAGGGGAGAAAGACTGGTTCCAAGGGAATTAGGCAAGAAGGCACCGCTGGCTCTTCCCGCACTGATGTCGCTCTGCCAGCACAGATCACAACATTCGCACATGACATTTAATCCTCCATCCTAAAGCTCTTTGGCTCTCGGCAGGCAGTTATTGTTATTATTGTTGCTCTAATATTTACACTTTGCTCCCAAACAAGTGTAATTTCCCTGGTCGCTTTGTAGATCCCTGGCCCTCAATCCAGTTTTCTCTTCAGTTCTCGGGAACCCACACCTCCGGCTCCTCTCATTCATGAAAAAAA